GAAAGTTTTGAAAAGACCAGGGAAGTCTCACAAAGGGCAAGATGTGGGCCGCACAGGGGGAACTGAAGGGATGGTCGCCAGTCGATAGCCTGTGGACCCAGCCAAGGGGTGTTGCAGGGATTTCAGTCAGGACAGGAAAGGGGAGAGAGGTTGGAGCAGGTAACCCGTCTTGCTCTCCCAAAGCCGGGGATGAGTCCTCTGATTGGAATGACCCTAGAGATATGGTCACAGCAGTAATTGAACCCCTGAAGGGGAAATAGAGACATGAGCTTAGAATTATTTTCTCCTCTTGATCCTTTGGATACTGGGGCTGGGAATTGGCATAGTATTTATTCCCCACATCTTCGAACCTTCCAAAGAATAGTTTCTGATTTTCATTTTTCCACGCAGTCTAACTCAAAAGATAGGGAGGCTGCTGTGACCTAAAGTCATTGTCTCCTTAGGGCCTCTGCCTAAAGTCTTGAGCCCAGGACATCCTACTCTCTTTGGCCATAAAAGAATTTAAAGCCCTTGGCCTTTGGAAAGCTACAGACTCATTAAATCTCTCTCACCAGCTTTAGGGTGACTGCAAAGCCCCAAGCTTCGTAGCGGCAGCCATAAAAGATGATCCACCCTTCCATTCACCCCACTGTTTATTTACACCATGTCCAGCCCCACAGTCCCATCCCAGGGCACGCGTCACACTTGTCTCCCAGCACGCGCCAGCGATGAGATGCAGTTGGGCCTCTGCTGCTCTGCCTGGGTGGTAATTCTCCTCAGTTCTCCACTCATCCCCCCCCACCTTCCCATTTCCTTCCCTCATTCCTCCTCCACCACCCACCTCTTCTCCTCCACCCCCCCCCTCCCCAAAACACACACAATCCCCAGCTGGAATGCACTAGTCACTCTAAACTAAAAATAACTGCCTGCATCTTGATAATGTAACATTTTAAAGATCTAAGTCATCTCTTGGCTGGGACTCAGGCTCTGTTGTTGGTATGGCTGTTTTGATAGGGTTTGATTGAAGTTTAATTGCCTTTTTTTTTTCCTGCATCTTATCTCTATCCAAGATTACTGGGGGAGGGGAGGTCAGGAGGCAGTATCTTGGGTGCTTCTGTATGCCTGGGCATGTATGTCCATGTGGCCACACCTATGTGCGTGTGAAGTTGGGAGGGCGAAGAGTGGTAAGGGGGCAGCATCTTTTCCTCTTCCTCTCTCTGCTGGCCTCTGAGATTGTTTCGGAGATGCCCGGCCTTTAGAGCGGCAGGCGTTTCCTATATGGAGGATGGGGGCAGAGGCCACCGCTGGAGCCATCAATAACCGGGTGGGAGCTGCAGGTCTCTGTGTAATGTGAAGCTTTCCCGTATTTCATTTCTGCACCCAGGGGGCGGCTCTGCAGGATTGCTTACGGAGCACTCTGTGTCTGGCACCTCTCTCCACGAAGCCCAAAAGCCCAGGGTCCCACCGACCTGCCCAGGAATGTGCGGCATTGTTCTCCACCGCTGTAATTTGGCTGCAGAGCTAGAGGCCAACAGCTTCCCAGGGATGAGGAGCAAACTCCCTCCCCCATCCTGGTCATCCTCCTTCCTCTTGACTAACTTGGGCTCCCCTCACAACTGGCAGGGACATTTAAATAAAAACTCCGGGGTGGGGGTGGACTGGGCAGTGATGCTGAGTAACTATTCTCCTGTAATGAATTAGCAATCAGCCAATCAGACAGAACCCTCAGAGGGCATGAATATTTGGTAGGTAGTGAGAGTTCTGCTGGGAGTGCCAAAAGGAAATAGTAAGTAGGTAATATCAGAACGGGGAACAATGAATGCTCACTCAGCTCTCTAGGCATTAAGTGCAAGTCAGGAATGGTTGATAAAGAATGCTGATGTCACTGATAGTTTCTTGGCATTCCTCTTGGGACAAGGGAGGGCAGGCTGGTAACATATCCCATGGGTTGGTTGGCATCCAGCCCTTTTCAGCAGGTGTGGGGCAAGCTCCTTTTTTCTCCTCCATAAGAAAGCCAACTGCCTGTTCTGCTGCTCTTTGGCTAAAGATGAAACTGAGTCACAGTAGTCTCATGGGCCTTTTCTTTCATATAAGATTGTGGGCTGCTGGAGAGGAGGGACAATAGCTTACTTGTATGCCTACATTCTGAACAGCCCCTAGCCCACAAGAGATACCCAATATATTTACTGCACTTTTTGTATGGGAGCTGGCATTCGGGTTTCTTACCCGTTGGTGAGAGCGTGATAATCTTTGCTGGGCAGAGAGAAAAAGAAGACTAAAGCTCAAGATGCATAGTGAGGTGATCAGAAGCAGAAGGGGCCTAACTGGATCAAAGTTCTTGTCCTGCTCATAGGACTTCAGTGCCAGGATCCAGAGAGGGATTGCATGCAGTCCACTCACCCTCATGATGCAGGGTCTGTGATGAGGCTCAGGGCTGCCCTTTACCTCAGTTTTCTTACCTTTGAAGTAAGCAGCCATGCTTCTCTATCCTCATCATCCCCTTTCCTCCTTACCAAAAACTTGCTTCTCTCAACTTACGATGGGAAAATTGGCACATGCATGGCTCCGCAGTGTGAAATTCTGAAGCCGTGTATGATCTAGAGAGTGGGGCCAGGAATTGCCAAAGGAGACCCTCTCTCTTCTAGAGAGAGAGAGTGGAAATCTGGAGGGACTAGGAAAGCAGCATCTTTGTTAGAACACAGGTGAGTCACGGGCCTGCTACTGCCCAACTCTCGGAGGTAATCAAGTATCTGCGCCTCAGGCCATACGGTGACCCGTATTTTCTCATGTGAGGAAGCACTAGGGGTGAGCTGAGACCTTTCCTAGGAGGCTGCCATCTTGGGGAATTGTCATCCAACTCTGCCGTCCATTCAGGCTAACCAAGACCCCCAGCCCTCCTCCCCACCACCGTTCTGTTATATTCCCCCAAATAGGGAGTTCTTTTTCCACTCCATCTCGAACTGTCAGAAGCCCTTTCCTTCTTCCCCTTACTCCCTCCTCCCTAATCCCACTCATCAGTTATCGAGTTGACTCCACCACTCTGCAAGAAAGACATTCCCCTGGCCTGACTCAGCCCTGTTTCTCCACAGGAATCCCCTCACCACAGGCCACAAGGGTCCTGACCAGCTCATGTTTTGTATTAATGGATATGAAGGCTGAAGCATTTTTACTCTTTCTCTCAAAAAAAAACACACACACACACACCAAAAAACCAAACCTACCCCAAACCCTCCTACACAGGTCTTGGCAGGTTACACAAATATTAGTCCGAACATCCAAATAAATCTGTCCCTGAGGCCCAGGCCCACAGCCCCCATTCCCCCTCCCCACCCCAGTGCTTCATGCTGTTTGCATGGAGAATGGAACTGCTTAGCAATTGTGTAGACTAGGGCAGAGGAAAGGAGGAGAATAGGGTTTGGGGAGAGGTGGGGAAAGGAGGAAAGCAAGGAAGGCCTGTCTGCAGTCCTTGTAAAAATAAAAATATACTGGGCTCCTAAGCCTGAAAGCCTGTGCCAGCACTAAATGGTCAGCAAGTGATGGAGGACCCATAGGTAGTATGGGCTGGGATAGGCTACCTGGGAGCCTTTCTGTAGGCTGGAAGTAGGATGGGACAACAAGCATCAACTTTAGGACAAAGCCAAAGAAAGGCCTGGTCCCAGAGCCTTGAGTAATACATCCTGATTATTTCCTGATTACCGTCGCTGACATTGCTTCTCAAATTGAAAGGGACTTCCTTGTCTTGGATTATTCAGGGTACCACCCCATCTTCCTAACCCTCCACCAATCTTCCATAGGTGTCTTATGTCCCCGTCAATATTTTGTCTCAGAAATGAACACCATCAGTGCTTTTTCACTATCCAAAATGAGCCTCTCTTTAACCTGGAAACCTACAAGCACTCATTACCTTTTGCCAGTCCCAGGGAAAAAAGTATAGGAAATGCTAGAAGGGAGGATTTGGAGACTCTTGAGTTATAGGATCTGGCCAAAAACAGCAAGCTGAATCCTGCTATGTAGGTGGGTTGGGATGCTGCTGGGAGGTATGTTCATAGTCACAATATCAGATGTGTTTCTCCATCGTTTGCTGTTGTGGATTATCTTAAGGGTGAGGAAAAGGAACCTTTTTGGCTTTTAAGATTTTTCTTGTTGATTCTTAAATCAGTGGCAAATAGACTATAATGAAGTTACCATTTGCTGAGATGTTACAAAGGGTGCTCCTGTTGAGATATTCTCGATGGTCCCTTCCAACTCTGTGAATTGGATTCTGTGAACAGGCCTCTCTCTTCCTAGCACGTATGACACTGAGCAGCCTTATATTTAAGTAGGACAACAGGAAGGCAGACACAAAAGGAAGGGTATCCTTTGTCACTTTCATCTAGGAATGTCTTCTTCTGTCATGGATACTATCTAGGACGAGGTCAGCTCACAGTCTTGGGAAGCACTCCTCTACGAATAAAACACACTAGAGGAGTGGGGGTGAGATTAGAAGCCAGCACCTATCCACCCTGAAAAACACCTACCAAGGGCAGAATGAAAACAAAAAAGCAAAGTGCACAAGTGAGGCAGATTAAGTATTAGTTGACCCAATGGGGGAAGCTGCCTTCTACTAATCACCTAGTTGAACCACTACCTAAGAACCCAGCAGGTAAACAAATGAGGCAGTAATATCTGATACAAATTTATGATATATATGTATATATATATATATATATATATATATGGATGGGGAGGGTGAGGATGCATATATCTCTCTTTCTCCACATATGCAGCAGTATACAACATACAAGCACATAGATGGACCCCCCATCCTGCAGGTCTGACCCTTGTCCAGCAGGCCCAGTCTCCAGGGAATTGAAAGGACTTGGAGTCTAACGGTTACTTCCAGGATGACAGATGAACTGTTCACACCTCACCAGTGCCCCACCCCCACTCCAATCCTAAGCCAGGCAGGTGTTCATGGCAGCTCCCCCCCAAAAGGTGTTTTTTTCTCCTGTATGCCCAAGACATGCCAGGAAGCCAGAGACGGGAAAAAGAAAAGCAAATCTCTTCTGGGTTCTTTAGTGTAACTTGTCTCTCCACAGAGCCCCTTGTTCTCCTTCTATGCTGCTCCCTCACTGTCCCCTTCCACTGGGGGGCACGGAAGCTTCCGAGGGAGAAAGCTGCTTAGTATCTTATCACTTCTTCCTTCAGGCTGAAATACCCACCATAACATCTTGGGGCACTCACAGTCCAAGTCTTTCAGTAGAAGCTGTGGCAGCCCAGGGCAGGGGAGTTAGGGGTACAGGGTGTGCATGCGAGGTTCTTGTGCTGTTGAGTCTGAGGGTTTGGGATGGAGGGGCTGGTGAAGTGTGCTAGTGTTCAGGTCTGGTCCAGCCACTCTGCCTTCTTGGGGGCCTTACAGGTGTGGACGTCCACAGTGTCCCGGCACTCCTTACAGCGGACAGCACAGCACCAGTGGAATTTGCACTCACATTGGGTGACGCGTGTGACTCGGGTTGTGTCATAGCCACGGCCACAGCACATGACCTCACATCCATCTGTCCCTCGAGACGTCTTACTGCATACACGTCCTGCAGTGCCCAGGGACCCTGAGTGGGAGAGAAAAAAAAGGTAACCTCTCACTCCATCCCCCTGGGGGTTCTCTTCCCTGCTCCCTGCCTCTCACCCAGCATAGCAAAGAGGACAAAGTGAGAGGAGACCTCAGGCCTGAGCTCCTCCTCCTCCTCCTCTCTTGCATAGGACTGGCACCGTCAAATCCCCAAGTCTTTACACAGACCAGAGCATCTCTGTTCAACTCCATTTTACAGATGAGGAAACCGAAGCCCAGGGAGGCTGAGTGACTTTTGGTCACACAAATAAGAGCTGGGATTCAAACCAGGGTCTCCATGTTGCCTCCTACCTAATATACTTTTCTCTTGCCAATACTTGTCCAAATCTCATTTGAAATCCTACCAGCTTTCACCTCCTCTAGGAAGTCTTGCCTCCAGTTCAGGTCCCACTGCATTCCTTCAGCACTTTGGTGTTGGGTTTTCATTAAAACATTTTACAAAGACCACGAATGTGTATCTTATGTGCTCTTGTCAGGGGCTAAGAGTGGCAAGCTGATGACCATGGTGAAGCATTGACTTTTAGGGAAAGGGATGGCTTTGGGCTCCCCTCACCCTCGTTGCAATGGGAAACATCAGCAGGTAGGGACCATGTTTTCTCCTCCTGTCTCCCGGTCTCCATGCACAGGAGAGGCTTAACTGGCCTTTGCTGGTCCTCATATGCATTCCACCTCCTGTATCCAGGTTTTTTTCTCATCCCCATACCTGAGATACACTCACTTCTCACCTCAGCCTCTCCGAATCCTTGAACTCCTTCAAGACTCAGCCTAAGTAAGGGTCACTCCCCAAAGAAGTGTTCCAGAAAGCCCCCAATTGCTTGTGCCCTTCCCCCTACTGGAAATTACTTGGCATATCTTTCTATTGCTTATCAGCATATGTGTCCCAATAGAATAAACACTTACTGGCAGGAATTGTTTCATTTTAGTCTCCCTGGTGCCTAGCACAGTGCCTGGAACACAGTGTTTAATATACATTTGTTGAATGAATGAATCTATCTCTGCTGTAGAATTTTAGAGTGGGAAATGCCTAGAAGATAGTCTAAAATGACCTATATTTAAATAAAAGGACTACAAAGACCCATGAAGCTAAGTAATTTGCCCAAGGTTACATTGTTAGCCAGCCTGGAGACTCCCATACATGCATACCACATTCCCTTTTTCCTCCTCATCAGGTTTGGGGTTTGCTGGTATATATGATGGATCAAAAGGCCTCTGAACTATTCCTTCTCCCTCTACCCACACTTTACTTCCCACACCAAAACGTCACTACTAGGGAAACATCTGGTTCTGAGATGACCCCACTTCCAGGTTTCACCCGGTTACATACTCCATAACTGTTTGTCTACGACCCGCACCCCATGTAGCCCACGTTCACCTTCACTGTTGTTTCAAAAACCCATTATCACAATTCTCCAGGAAACTGGGTGATTGCCTTGACCCCAAAGTAGTGAAAATAACAATCTCCGACATGCCTTACACAGTGTGATTTTTTTTAAGTGTGATATTACAGTTTGTTCACCAGGCCTAGAAAAAGAACTTGAGAGCCCAAAAAGTTCATCCTCCTGCCTCCAAACCAGGACCTAGCACTCAGCATGATACTTTGCACATAGAAAGCGCTAGACGAAGAGAATCCAAAAACAGAAAGCTACACTGGGTAGGAAAGTCAGAAGAGCTTCCCCACCCCATTCTTCTCCAGGAACCCCCTTTCAGGCACCCTGCAAAGGACAAACACTACCCTCTCTGTCTCTCAGGCAAGGCCCCACCCTGCTTCTATGCCCAGTTTTGCTCCAAACCATTTCACTCTCCAAGAACGACAGCGATGGGTAAAAACAAACAGAGGCAGCCAGCTAGTGGACTCCTTCACCTTCACCTCACCTCTCTCCTACTCAAACTAAAGCAGAGGTGCCTGAAGAAAAGACCCTCGTGGCAGTAACCAAGAGAGGAGGTGCTGATGATAAGACCCAAGTCTTTCCAGCTTTACAGCCACTGAAGCTGAGACAGGATCCTTCTAGCTTTTTGGGTTAAAAGGGATCCCAGGTCCTCCAGATCACGGGTACCGCCTGAAGAGATTGTTACTTCTTCTCTTCTTAAAAGAAAATGTAAAAAATCTCTGGGGAAACCGACTCCACCTCACAAGGTGACAATTCCTGCAACATTCCAACAGTCTCAAAGTCCCACCTGCTAGCTGACCTTATTCCCTAAGGCACTGAATCAAACCCAAACTCTGCTGCGGATGAATAACAGCTGTTCCCTGCCCATCTCCAACTGCCCAGAGGGTATTAGGGAGCTGAAATGCCTGGCTGGGATGGAGATCATCTCCTTGGATTCCTCCTTTCCCATTACTAAACCTTCAGTGTTTTCTCATTGGATATTTTTGTTTTGTTTTTTAAATTCAAGAGACAAAATCCTTAGAAGAGTGCTATTCTAGGCACTCTGCAATATGGCCCAACCAGTAATGCCTTCAGACTTCACCTCACAGGAAGTCTCCATTCCCGTCCAACTATTGGCCAAATATGCCGAGTGCTTTCCTCCCCATCCACCCCTCCTGAAATGCCCTCTAACTATTCAAACCCCACAAGGCCCAGTCTTAAATCTCACCTCCTTCATGACCTCAGTCATTTGGGCTGAATTTCTACAGCTCTTAAATTACATTTGAAGATATCATGGTATAATGAAAAGAGTGCTAGTTCTGAATGCTTCCTTCTTATGTGACTCTAGGCAAATTACTTAAAACTCCATGATTTCATTTGTAATGTGACTCAGAGTGAGCCTCTAAGTTCAGCTCTAGATCTGACATCCTGTGATAGGAAGGTGGGAAGACATTGTAGATGTACATTGTAGAGGGGCAGCTAGGTGGCACAGTGGATAGAGCACTGGCCTTGGAGTCAGAGGATCTGAGTTCAAATCTGGCCTCAGACACTTGACACTTACTAGCTGTGTGACCCTGGGCAAACCCCGATTGCTTCACCAAAAAGCAAAAAAAAGACTACATTGTAGAGGAACTGAAAAACAAGCCATGAAACCTTTAGGCCATGTTATTTATCTGCTACTGTTATTTATCTTTTTATGTCTTTATATCCACTCTCCCTAGCTAGTCTCAGAAACGTATTTTTTGCATCCCACACTGTAACTAGGATAGTAAGTACCTTGTGGGCTATTGTAGGTATTCAGTACTTATTAGTAGGGGAGGTTGGCTCTCACCTATGGTGCCACCTTCCCTGATTATTCTTAGGTTGGGTAATAAGCTGGTACTTCCTGCAAGCCCTTCTGGTGTTTCTTACTGTAACCCCGAGTTACTGAGACAGCGATGGATGTGTTCAGAGCTGAGAAATTGTTCCTCTCTTCACCCATTCTCACTCCACATCTAGCTCCATCTCACTCACCAGCAGCCTTGTCCAGAACACAGTAATCTGGGGAGTTGTCAAAATAGACAAGGTCGGCCCGAGTGGCATGGCGATAGCCCTGACGGGCAGCAGTAAAGTTGGCACCATCCTGAGTGGCGGTCACTTGCACAGCCCCATCATAGCGCCTCCGCAGGTAGTCACCAGTCCGGCGGAAGTCAGAGAGTGCATGCCAGCAGGTGCGGAGGGTACAGGAGCCGCTAACTCCATGGCACTTACATTCCAGCTTTAGGAATCGGCGTACAGCCTGAGCGGGGAGGGAGAAGGAAAAGGCAGGGGGTCAGGGCTCACTGTCCATCCTAGAGAGAGGGAGAGAGGGGAGAAGGAGGGGTGAGCAGGGCATGAGGGAGAGAGAAAGAGAGACAGAAGGAGAGAGAAAGAAGGAGACAGAGATGGATAGAAAGGAGGAGAGACAGAAACAGAGAGGGAGGATGGATTAGGAGGAGGGACAGTAAAGAAAAGGCTGGAAGTATAATGTGATAAACTGAGAAATAGGAGGTTTAGGGGTCATCTCCTCCATCTAATTATTCAACAAGCATTTAGTAAGAGCCTTCTGGTACCAAGCCCTAGGCTGGGCACCCCTTAGCTCCAAATCCTATGTATTCCTCAAAGCCCAGCTCAAATTTTACCTCTTCTGGGAAGGTTTTCCCAAGCATTTTAACCCACAGACTTCCTTGTCCTCTAAACTCCTTTGGCATCTGTCTCCTAGTGCAGTAGGAAGAATGCTGGATTTAGGGTCAGAGGAACTGGGTTCAGCTCAGCTCAGTTACCACCTTGTATGAGCTAAGTAAGTCACTTGACTCTTCTGGGCCTCAGTTTTTTGTAAAATTAGGGGGCTGAGCTAGGTGACCTCTGGGTTTCCTTCCAGATCTCAATCTATGATCCAGTAACCAATGCCAGACAAGTCAGAACTTCATTCTTTACTGTTATACTGTCTGGAATCATCCCCTTAATTAACTCAAGTAATATATGATAATGCCTTTTTTTTTTTAAAAAGCTCATACATATTTTATTTGAATTTTTTCCAATATTTCTAGCAGAATGTAAGCTTCTTGAAGGCAGGAACTGTTTTGGTTTGTCTTTGATTCCATAACACCTAGTTCAGTGCCTGGCACACAGTAGGTGTTCAACAAATGGTTGTGACTGACCTGAAAGTTCTTCATGGGAAAGGGGGAATCGACTTGGTTTGTTTTCATTCACCATTCAGTCATCAAAAAACATTTGCAGAGCTTCTGCTGTGTGGACACCACACAGCACCATACTTAGAAATGGGGAAGACACAAAATTTATAGAAGAGAGAGTCCTTTTCTTCATGGTAATAGCTCTGCTACTTCCTCTGTACCCCCCACAACACCTACCACAAATTTATCTACATAGGAGCTATATGAAAAAACAAAAACAAAAACAAACAAACAAACCTTCTTTTGACAGAGAAGGGATTTTGCTTTCCCAAGAAACGTCTTAGGACATTTTTCCTCCCACCGCTTTCCAATATTATGCAAAGCCTCGGCAGCCACACCCTCGGCACGACCCTGGATGAACAGTGGTACACACCCAGACACACATGTATAGACTGACCGTGCGGCCACAGCGATTGTTGTGCAAGTTCATGAGGGCCCGAGCATCCTTCAGCCTCTTCTCCTTAGCATCCACAAAGGCCTTGGCAAAGCGGACCCCATAGTGGATGTTGTCACTGCAACCACCCCAGTCAAAGTCTCCACGCTGGTCTCGGTCCCGACCACGTGTGTAAGGGTCACAGCTGCACACGCTGAGCTCACCCTGGCTGCAGGCCCGAGTGATGGCATGGACCACACCTGCTGATGAGATGGCATACACGAAAGCCGCCTCCCGGCTGCCTAGAGTGGGGTAGGAAGGAGGGAGTTGAGAGAGAAGGCGCCGTGATCCCCCTTCCAGAAGTCCCCCTGGCTCACAACCCATTCTCGACTTACTCAAGCACCAGACTATTCCTTACCGCATCTCATGACTTTTAGGCCACTCTCTAGATATGTCTGTTCGTCCCTTCAATCTGGCACTAACTCTTAGCCCTCAGGTGAGGCCAGTAACACGATCAGTTAGAGAACAGCTCTGGACTTGGTATCAGAAGACCTAGGTTCACATCCAGGCTCTGCTCCTCACTAGCTTTGTAATTATGAGTAATTATGACTTAACTTTTCTAGACTTGTTTCCTCATCTGTAAAATGGGGATAACTATTCATCTACCTCACAGGCGTATCGTGAAGATGCTTTGTAAACCTGGAAGTACTACATCATAGGATCATAGACTTTTGAGTTGCTAAGGACAATCAGAGATCAGCTAGGCCAATCTCCCTATTTTACAGATGAGAAAACTGAGTCCTAGAGAAAGAAAGGAAGTGATTTGTCCAGGGCTGTATAACTAGAAACAGCAGAGTGGTGTAATGGAAAGAAAATGGGACTTGGGAGTCAGAGGACCCAAGATCTTACCCCAACTCTTCTAACTCCACCTTTCTTCGAGCAGTGTTCTTGTCACCCTCTCACATTTGGCTCTGAATTGTTCTTAGATGAAGCAAACACCTCTCCTTACTCCTCCTCCTTCCCTAGTGCTAGATGGCTCTCCTGCTGAGCCCTGGTCCAGCTAGCCTAGGAACCTGAGACTTCTGGTCCCTCTCTTGTGGGACAGTCCTAACACCAAAACCCCAGACCATAGTCAGACATGGAAAAGAGGAAGACATCAGAGCAGAGAGACACTGACACGCTTTCCCCGTTTGCATTTACCTAAATGTCCTGAATCCCGAGGGCTGATCTCTCTCCTCTTCCCCTCCCATTCCCTGTTGTTTCTCTCTCAGCCTTTCTCCTGGCTCATCTTCCAGTTTAGCCCAGCCTAGTTTTCCCTGCTGAGCAGGGGCCAGGACAGTTCTCCAAATATTTACATATCCCCTTTCTGTTTACCCCTTGTTCCCATTACTGCCAGGGTTGGATGGGGGCAGGATACCCCCTCCGTGGTCCCTAGCCCTGAAGTGGATAGAGGGATTGCGAGGGCCAATAGGGAAGCAGGAAACATTCCATGGCCCCTAAATTCTCCTCCATCTAACATGACTCAGAGCTGGGGGAAACAGAGGTACAGCCTGCATCTAGGGAATGAGTGGAACTTTCAACAGCCCCTGGCACATGGGGTTCAGAGGGTCTCTTGTCTATGGGGGTAAGAAGAGGGACTGTAGTCAAACGAAGCCAGAACTGAGGGCCCATTGTCAGCTGGAATCACAATGTGATACCATCACCATTATTATAATCCCTAACATTTATAGAGAGTTTTAAGGTTTTCAAAGCAATCATATGTGTCTGCATACACACACGCATATGTAACATAGATACAGATTACCATTTGAGCCGCCTAACAATCCTGTCAGGTGAGTCCATTTCCCCAATTTTACAAATGAGGAGATGAAGGGAGAGAGATGAAGTGATTTACCCAGGGTCCCAAAGCTAACAATGTCTGAGAGGGGAACCAAACAGCCTTTCTCCGATTCTCAGAGGTGTCAAACTTTCTGCCAGCAAACCCCCAATTGCTGCAGGAACCAGATTACAGTGTGACTGGGAAATGTTAAAAATAAAATGGAGCACAGATAATGTTAATTTGTGGTTTTCTAAGAAAACCCTAAATGGGGCCATGAAGAGTCGGACACAACTGAAATGGGCGAACACACGCACACAAGTCAATATGCAGCTGTTTGAGTTGGATGCTGCCACCCTCCTCCAAGCTGCTTCAGTCATGGAAAGTGTTGGATGTGAAGTCCCAGGATATATTTGATTCCCAGTCCTGACCTTCTTACCTGTTGGGACCATGGGCAATTCACCTAGCCTCCGTGGGTCTGCTTCATTATTTATGACAGGAAGCAGTTGGGTCTAATGACCTCCAAGGTCATTTTCAGCTCTACATCTGTGACCCACCCGTGGTGTCAGTTTCCCCAGTTATGAACCAACGTGGGGGAGGATAATCTTCTCCCCTTCCACGTGCCCCCCACGGCCATGGAGAGAAGGGAAGGAGACGGGAAGAGAAGGACAGGAGGAAAACAGGAAAGGGTAAAAAGGAGGGCCCCTACTTCTGAGCATCACTCGGCCAAAGACGGTGTGGTCGCGGTCCAGAGTGGTGCAGTTCCAGCGGTGATGACGGAACTGGTGCTGGCACTCACGGATCCAGTCCCGGGCCCCCTCACCCAGGGAGCGCATGATGTCAGGGTAGCGCTGGCACAGCTGGCGCTGGCGGCTCACCAGCCCAGGGATGTTGTCACAGATCACCCGGGCCCCCAGTGCCCCGATATACCTGCAGGGAGTGGAGGGCACAGCGTTGCTGGGAGTGCCTCAAACAGGGGCAACTCAAGGGTCTCACTTTCAGCCTGGGCAATGAATGGGTGGGACTAGGGGGAGGGTTATTCCCTGGCTCTGGAGGGTCCTGTCCCAACATTCATCCTGCCCCTTTTTTCCACTGGTGGTGGTGGCAATAATAATAATTAGCTAGCATTTCTATAGTGCTTTAAGCTCTGCCAAGAACTTTACATATGTTGTTTAATCATCCTCACAACAACTTTGTGAGATAGGTGCTATTATTATCCCCATTTTGCAGATGAGGAAACAGGCTGAGAGGTTAACTGATTTGTCCTGGGTTACACAGCTAAGAAAGTGTCTAAAACAGAATTTGAACTCAGGTCTTCCTATAAGTCCAGCGCACTGGACCACCCAACTCTTTCTAGTGTAGGGAGTACAGCAAGGTACTCAGAAGCAAGGCAGAAGCTGCTTCAATGGAAACCACTCAGTTGAATTCTTGTCATAGATGATAAATGAGTGATCTCATCTCTTATCACCCAGGCCAAATGCTCAAGTCTAACATGCATACTAAAGCCATGCGCGTGTCACAGATATCTACAGGTGGTTTATTTGATAAATGCTAGTGACTATGAAGAAAAATACTATGAAAATAAGAGACCAGGATGATACTCTGGCATATGGAGGGCCTATGTTTGAAATATGGCTGTGTGCCTGGGGCAAGTCACTTAACATCTCAGTCTCTTTCTTCATCTGTGAACTGAAGAGATGGCTTACCCTCTGAATCTGTGATCCTATGGGCCTTCCCTGAATCCCACACTGAAGGTAGCCTCCCTCTCTCCCTGTCTGTACTGGGCTAGGGTGGAAGGCAAAAATAGAAATGAAGGATAGTGGGAGTGGTGTTCGTGTGGAAGGGTGGTGAGTGGCAGCCCAGGGCAAGGTTCATAACATACTACTGAGTGATATTTCTGGTTCTGGATTGACCCACATGGCTGAGAATCCAATGTTTCCAAACTCCAAGCTGATATAAAGAGACCCTCCCTTCCAACCCTACTCTTCCTTCCTTCCTTCCCTTGTCTTCAGGAGACCAGCCAAATATTAACCCTACTACCCAGGCTGGCCCTGTGTCCTCCTGCCCCACCTTTCTCTTCCCTTGCAATCATTCCCACCGTGGGATCTCCACTTCCTGAACAGGGATACTCTTCCCCCTTATTGTGGTAAAGTGACTTTTAAAGTCTCTGTCCCCTACTTCCCAGGCCAAACCAAAGGGCACTGTGCCCTGGGATTGCTGTATAGGCAGAGATTCAGCTTCAAAGGGACCAAGCGGTTCCCACACCCCAAATTCCAGGCTCGATTCTCATCAGCTCAGCACTATAGCAGTGATGACATGCCTGAGGCTTGGCTGAGCCAGTGAAAGTGGCCAGGGAATAAGACAAAGGGACAGGAAGGTGACTTCAGCTAGGTAGAGATTTTCCCTCTGTGCCCAAATATATTCATCTCCACAGCACATTCCCAGGGGTGCTGTCCCGCTTTCTTCCACCCATAAGCCCACCAGTCCAAACCCTGCCTAGAAGTCTGGGATCTATGCTTACATGGGCTTCCTTCTCTCCAATTTGGCTCCATTCTCCTCTTGTTCTCCGAGCTCACCTACCTCTGAAAGCATTCCATAATTCTGAGAAGGTCCCTCTCTCCTCCTTTGTAAATGGATAAAAACCCAAAGGAGTTTTTTTGTGCATCTTATCTCAGGGTAAAGAGCTCAGTCCAGAGCAGGTGGGAGTCAGACATCCCTGGCTGCCAGAGAAGCCATGGCTGTGAATAAGACTGTGGTTTGGGAACTGCCCCAGAATCTGGTGGGGAGCAAGGGGTGTTTATGACATCTGGGTCCCTGTGTACTTCGTCCCCTTCTTCCCCCTCGCCCACCCCAGTCCCAATCATTCCCACCATGGGATCTCCACCCCTGAGTTGGGATCACCACTGGCAAAACCAAATCAAACAAACACAGCCAAAGCCAGATGCCTTCTGGTGAGTGTGGCCGGCCAGGCTGATGGGACCCATCTGTCCCCCAGGGAGGAAAAGACAGAGAGGGCCGGCTGCTAACAAATCCCATGGAATCAGCATCCCTGGTTCTGTCCATCAGGGCAACGGCTTCCAGGAACAAACAAAATAAACTCCCCGGGCCTAGCTTGGGAGGGACTGCCTGACGCACAGACCCAGAGTTACACCCACCACTGAGATGCTTTGTTTGGAGAGGAGAGACATGAGTTGGAGCTAGTCCCTTTCCCAATACCACTTCATTCCCCTAGTTTAGGTCTGGAATATTGCTCTGTGGACGAGGACTTGGGGGCATCCAAGGCTTGGAGAAATACCACAACCTCTCATCAAGAGAACCTTGGTTGTATTGGACCAAGTTATTTCAGGAAAGTTCTTTCTGCTGTCTAGCTTCAATTCCTTTTGATACAGCCCATACTGATCCTTCTTGTTTTATCTATCCTTAGTGAGGTGGGAAACAGCTAGTCCCATTCTCTCCCATCCTTCCCATCAAGAAGATAGCAACTGAGTACCTGTGAGTTCTCCCAGGCCCTACCACTGCCCCAGCCTTCAGGTTTTCTTCTAGACCTTGCTGTGATCTCCTTGGATGGTGGCTGCTAACTATTCCTTCCCCATCCCTTCTCTCTACCCCTATCTTCCTCATCTCTAGATTTCCAAATACTTTCTTCCTCCTGAGCCTGCCTTCTCATTTCCATGGACTAGAACTCATGTTCCTGCCCTTTAAAACCTGGTCCATGACATCTTTTAGGAAGTCTAGAAAAATCCTATCTTGTATCAAATACTCTCTTCCAGACTCTGTTTCCGTCATCCAGTAATTCTATTCATATATATAATTTGTTTCTTTGGAAATGAGACATCCTATACCCCTGAAGACAGAGACCGTCTACCCTCTTTCTCTCTCTCAGGATCTTTCATGGCCTCTACTATTAGACTTATGCACACGGTGTGTGTGTGTGTATGGAACGTCTTCAGGACAGGTATGTGATTCCCACCCCAACCCCTCCATCTTTATTTTCCTTTTGTTTTCTTTTCTTGATTTCCCCAGGGATCTAAGCTTTCTAAGGCTTCCCTATTCTTTCCTCCTTTCTATCCCATTAGCCTAGGAAAATTCATGATAACAGAATGCACCTGCTGGGGGTTTATGTCCCCCTCTCTACTTACTGTCCTAAGAGTCATAAAGAGGGGGAACTTTCCCCTTCCTTCTACCCTAGAAGAGAAGGTCTCTGGTGCTATAGAAAATGATTATGAATTATGACCTTCCCAGTGGGCAATCAAGTGTTTCCCCAAGGGCTTCTGGCGAATGCTACATTTTTGCTTTTTTTTTTTTTGGTAAAGCAATTGGGGTTCCGTGACTTGCCCAAGGTCACACAGCTAGTAAGTGCCAAGTGTCTGAGGCCAAACTTAAACTCAGGTTCTCCAGACTCCAAGGCCAGAGCTTTATCCACTGTGCCATTTAGCTGCCCCAATTTTTGCTCTTTTTAAAAAAGAAAGTAGTTAGGGCCAAGACTCTTGCAAATTTTGAAAAACTGGCATTGAAAAAGTGGCATGACCACCCTGGCTGCTAAGGACTCTGTAGTCTAGGCTCTGTAGTCAGGAGCAAAAGGTGGGCAGATAGGATGGGAAGGCTAGAAAAGCCAACCCTCCTTGATACTATTGCCCCCATCCCTAGCCCCTGGCTCTTTTTTTCCCCTTTTCACTGGGGCAGCTGTGCCCCTTCTGCATGTCTCTTTATACTGAGTGTGGCTTTCCCTACCCAGCCTCCACCCAGGATTTTTCAGAGATTCTTTAATGTGAACCACGTGTAAGAGGAGGAAGAAGGAAGGGAAAGGGGTGAGAATACCCATGAGTCTCTAAGATATGTTTTCAATGGGGAGACCAACATGAACCCCAGTGAGGTCTACACTTGAGAAAAAACCATCAGCACAACTAAAAACCATTTGAGTGATGACCTCTCCTTATTCAAACATACAGGCTGTGCCCTCCCAGATAATTTTCCATACTGGCAGGGGCCGGACAAGGGTCCTCAGAAACATAGACAGACTGGGCAGAAATGCCCTCTCCTGTTTTGGGGGAGTGTGTATGTAGGGGAGATCTGAGATGAAGGAGGCAGCCTTTACTGATCTGAGCCTGTAGACAGGCTAGGCCTTCTGAAGGTCCGTTTTGATCTCAACCCTGATCTTTCAAAAGCTTTGCTCCTTCCCCCCCCCCGCCACCCCCTTTTCCATCTTCCCTTTTGTAAAGGAATGCTTCAAGCCAGATGTAAGATACCAATGCAATATGGTTCCCCCATCCAGAACCCCCTCCTTTCCCCAACATGCAGAGATAAAAAGATCCAAAAGAGAGATTTTTCTGAAACAGGAAAAAGGGGGGTGGTTGGGGGGCTGAGCATCTTGAAATGATAGGAATCTCTAGCAGAACTCCATGGCCCCTCAGCCTGCTACTCCAACCCCCAACCCAACTCTTCCAGCCAAGATTCAGACAAGGGGGAAAGCCACAGGGGAGGGAATGGTAAGAAAAAGAGGGGTATTCTGGGAGGAAAGGGAAATGGGTATGGGTAGAGAGGTGCTATGCCTATGTAGAGTGCTGTTTGGCTTCTGTTCCTATGTAAGTTTATTGGAGGGGGATGAAGACAGAGGGCAGCTAGAGGGATCTTTGGGGGCAGAGAACGGCTTTTTTCTGTGAGCAGCCAGCACTGTTCCATTAGAGGTGTGAGTGTGTTGGAGGGACAAGTATGTGGAAAAATAGACCTCTAATTGCTTTTTAAAAGGATTGTGCCCTTTATGGAATGAGAGGCTGAGACAGGATGGGGGGAGACCGACATTGGCTAGAAGAGAGATAGGAAAAGTGAGATGGACGATAGCTTTCCCAGGGGTGAGACAGAGACCTCTGCCCTAGAGAAGTGGGGGGCGGGAGTGGAAGGGGGAAGGGAGTAAAAGAAGGAGGGAAATGGATGGGATACTTTCAACAACTATCCCTGCTGGGAGGATTGAGTCAAATACCCGGATTATGCAAACCAAAAGGACTTTTTTTAAAACTCTAAGCACATAGTTTTGATTCAATTTAATTTTTCCTCACCAAATTGATTGAGAGCGGTTGCCTCACTGGAGAGGGATTCTTTTATACATTGGGGTGGATAGTGGAGAAGGAGATGGTGAGTTACCCAGCTTTTTCCCTTCTCCTGTTGCCCCTGAGTGAAACTGGCAACCCCAGCCTCTGTCTCTATCGCTCTGCCCCAGGCAAAGCCCCATTAACTCCTCCTGGAGCCCTTGGGATACCAGAGAAACTGAGCCACCAGGAATCGGTTTGGGACAAGGAAAGCCAAGTGCGGTCGGTTCCCAGGGGGCCGGCCAGAGCGTGAGGAGAGAGCAGCCTTCCCTTTTCACTCCTCTAGTGGTCCCCGCCCCACCTGGTCTCACATCCCTCTCTACCAACACTCACCACCAGGACGCATCTATGCGGGGCGGCAGCGTAAGCAACAGCAGCAACAGACAGGCGAGGCCAAGGCGGGCAGGGACTCCGGGACCGTCGGGTGCCGCTGCCCGGGCAGGGTATCTGTGCGCCGGGGCGAAGGCGGGTACAGGGAGCCGGGCTCGCCTACGGAGGAGCTGGGGGGCTTCCTCCGTTCTGCCCTGGCTCAGCATAGCTCCCCGAGGGCTCTCCCCCTGCGCGTCCCGGGGTGGGGCAGAGCGCTGGGCTGGGGGCGCGGGGACGGGACCCCAGCCGGGGTGACCCTCAAGCTGTCCCAACCTTCCCCCAGCAGGGGCCCATGGAGCGCACTGACAGTGGGGCGCCCGGGTGGGCGCCAGTTATCCGGGAGTCAGTGGCCTGGGGCCGCGGAGCGCAGTGGTCAGGACAGCTGTGCCCACCACGCTGAGGACAGTGTGGGGGGCCAGCGGCGTGACTCGAGACTCGGAGGAGCTGCGTGCGGCGCCGAGGGCTGTCTTGGGGCGTGCTGTCCGGACCGGGGCCGGAGGCAGGGATCTGGCCACCGCTTACGGCGCGCTCTATCCAGGATGCGGTGTCCGGGGGTCGGCGGCGCAGCGCCGAGTGGGGCTGCGGGGCCGGGCGGTGCGGACAGCCCCTCTGGCCGCGGGCTCTCATTGGACGGCGCCGGGCGGGGCTGCGGCCAGGGACACGCGCGGCCCTCAGGGCGGCCCCGCCTGGGGCCCCGAGCAGAGGCGCGCTCCACCACCCCAGGTGTCGCCGCTGTCGTTGCCCCCGCTCCCCACTCCCCCTCCGCGCTGCGCCCCCCACCTGCTCGGGCGAGACGGGACGGGGCGGTGCAGCTCACTCCATGCGCCCCGAGCGCCTGGGCCCGGTGGACGCCGCGTCCCCGGGTCCTAGCGCCCCTCCCTCCCAAATCTGCTCTTACGGGGAGCAGTGCTGTGCTTGGAGGGGGTGGAGAGGGGGGGCTGTGGGCTTTTCTCCCTGACCCCTAAGTCTCCGCGCAACAGGAGAGGAAAAGCGGATCGGACTCAGACTCCCAGCCTCTTTCACCCTCACAGTGAAATGGGTAGAATCCAATCTCGAGATACGGAAAATCGAGTGAAAAGCAGAGTTCAGCACTGCCAACAGGGGCGCTGTTGCCGAGATGGCTATCAGCCCCGCTAATCCGAAGCATGTGTTTTCAAGGTCCCTCTCCTTTTCTTCAGAACCGCAGTCTGCCCTCCTGCACCCGAGTCCGCTGAGAGGCTGTCGAAAAGGGAATGCCTCACCTCTAAGTGCTACATCATCCCTTTCCTCCTCTTCCATCGACCCCCGTCTCCCACCCCCCCGGCTGTGCTATGGCCCACAGCTGTGCTGCTCTGTGACCAGAGCGCTAGGGAAGCGGGGGACCCTGGAAGGTCTAAACCTGCCCTCCTGGAGCCGAGCTCCTGGGAAGGGAGGATGGGGGTGGTGGTATCAAGAGTTGGAGTGACAGTGGCTAACAGGGAATGGGGTAGGGGGCAGCGCTGTCTCTCCTCTCCCTGTCTTCAGGCTTAGCAGCTCTCAGTGTCTCTTAGTTCTCCCGACCGTGTACATGGGTCCCTCACCCCCTCGGGCGGAGCTGCGCTGAGTGTGAATGAATCAGAAACAGCTGGGCGGCTTTGCCTACACTAGAGGCCGAGTGGGGATCCCTTTGAAAGAGGGTCCTGGAGTTCGCTCCCCCGCAGTGCACTGCAGCTCTCAGTCACCAGACTGTGAGACCCTGTCCACCTACACCCGTTGCCTCCTTGAAAGACTGGGACAGGGAGAAGGAGAGGTGGATTGGGGCGGGGTGGGGAAATCATTGCCCCACAACTGATCCTCCAAGCTCATGATTCGCCCGGAGGTCCCTGGCAGAAAAACGCTCCCTCCTCCCCTCTTTGTAAGTCTTCTTTGGCGCTGAGCTTCTAGAAGACTTGGTTCCTGACTTGCTAGGAGACCGAGGGCTGACCCTTCCCCCTTCTCAAGCCTCAGTTTCTCCCTTGTCCTCTGTGATGTACCTCTCTCCCGTCCCCGCCCCCCTTCCCTAGTCAGCCGCTGCTCAGGACTCATGATTTATCTCCGCTATAAATGTCCTGATGTAAACACTGCACCCCGGCCGGTCCTCCCTCCCCGCAACTCCACCGGCACCTCACCCCAAAGAGGCTCCGCGGGAGTGGGGGGCCGTGGGGACAAGCACGGGTGTGAGTCGATAGGGAGCAGCTGGCCCAGACCAAGGCTGAAGCCGCCCCACGCAGAGGCGTAGCGGAATGATTTGGGGAGGGGCTCATCCAAGAAGCCCACTGACCTTTTCCTCACCCCCTAAGGTACTATGTTAGCACCCCACCCTCACTCAGTTCCAACCTCAGCTTGGACGTTGTATGCAGAAGACTCTGTCCAGGAGATGGGGGGGGCAGGGGTAGGGGAGTAGCGGAGAGAGAGAGAGAGATGGAGAATGGGAAGGTGAACTAGGGGCCCCCAAGAGGGCACTGAACTCACCCCTTCCCTACCCCTCCAAGTTTAGAATTAGGACTAGGACAATGGCTTTGGGGACGATTCTGCTCTCCACTTCATCCCCACTTTAGCTAATGCTTTAGTTCCTCTGAAGCAGTTGGGGGATCATTCTATTAGGGTCCTTGTCATTTTCCTCAAGAGTTCAGCCTTTTTTCCCATCCTTTCCTTCCTTTACCCTTCCCCCCTGCCCCCTTGCAGCCCCTGGCGGGACACACAGCATGCATCTCTAGTCTCCTGGCTGCCTTTCCCACACTCACCCCATGTGGTCAGAACTGGGTGTGACCCTGGAGCTATCCACTTCGTTTCTGCACTTGGGTGGGGTTGGGGGCTGCTGATGATCACATCAGCCCTAACCTTGGGCTGGCCTCATCAACATTGGCTGACAGTGCACTTGTGAAGCCTATTTGGTTCTTGCTATCTATACAGTCCGGTAACATCCCTAGCTAATAGGGACATACATACCTGTAGAGCTAGACAGTGGGAGAAGTTTAACTCACTTTGCAAAGATTTGCCTTGCCATTTCTATTTCGAGGGAATAACTTTGAAGTCAGTGTCCTACTCCACCCCCTTCACTGCCCCCAGTCCCCAGCTCCCCATCTGGGACCCCATACTGGAGGAGCCAGGCTGGCTGGGGGAGCTGTACTCAACCACTTAAAGAGAACCCAAATATACGGCCAGAGAAGAGAGTTTCTGGGATTTGCCCCTTCGGAGCTTCAACTCTGAAAATAAACTTTCAGCCTGAGCTCCTCACGCAAAGACGGTCACTGCCAGGGATGCTGGCTTGTCGGTAGCCTGCTCCACACCCATCAGAAAAAAGGCTTAGCACCAGTGGGGGTTTCTTCTGGGCTGGAAAGCCAGCAGCTTAAGCCCCTCCAATGACTGCTTTAGTTGTCATTCCCCTGAACCCCCTGTCAAATCTATACTTTCTACCCTTTCTGTCTTTATGAGGGCAGCTAGGTGGCATAGTGCATAAAGCACCAGGAAGATCTGAATTCACATCTGGCCTCACACACTAGCTGTTTAACCCTGGGCAAATCACTTAACTCTGTTTGCCTCAGTTTCCTCATTTGTGAAATGAGGATAATAATAGCACCTATGTCTCAGGATTGTTGTGAAGATCAAATGAGATAATAAGGTTAAAGCTTTTAGCACAGTGCCTGAAACTTAGTAAGAGATATATAAATGCTAACTATTCTTCTCCCACCCTTTCTTTGTTTTCCACCGCCAAGCCCTATATATCCCCTAGTTATAAGAACTAGAAAGCTGAACACCAGTATACTGGAAACTACTGAGATTCAATTCAATTCCACATTTATTAAGTGCCTACTATGCACAAGGCTTTGTATGAGTCCCTGGGACTACCAAGACAGACAGTGACGCTCTCAAATGAACTTCTGGAGCAGGGAGAAAGGAAGATATGTGTCCATGCATATGTATACTACAAGATAGTGGGTAATCGAGGCAAAGGAGAGATCCAGAACTCAAGGGAAATGTGAAGGAGAGGTTACTTTTAGCTGGGGGACATGAGGGAGTAGGTCAGGGAAGATGTCAGAGTAAGGGGCACCAGAGCCCCCATTTTGAAGGCAGAGAATTTCTACAGACAGAGATGAGGAGAGAGGGCATTGCAGGTACACGAAAGACACCAGTATAGAGAACTGGACCCTTCGAAAAATTGGGCTCTAAGTACTGGCTCTAAGGGACTTTGACTCTCCTACTACTTTCCCATTTTGCTTTTTGCTTTATTGCCTATCACCCCAAATACTATTTGGTACTCCCTACATACCTGAACACTACCAGAACTGCATTATTGAATGGAAGAAGGGAAAAAAAGGAATCAGAAAACAGGCCTCTTGCTTTCACAATTTAATTAAGGAGGTGAGAACCTCCTACTATGCTGATTCTAACAAGGTTGTTCGTTCAAAAAGCATTTAGTAAGCACCTACTATATGCCAGGCATTATGCTAAGTCAGTCAATGAACATTTATTAAGTGCATACTATGTGCCAGGCACTTTGTTAAGCACAGAAATACAGAGATACTGTGAGAGTCAAATGAGGTCATAGATGGAAAGTGCTATGGAAATTCAGGGAATTATTGTTATTATTATTAGACCCCAGAGGTAGTGAGACAATTAGAGAATACCACCAGATAATACCTTAACCAAGTACCAGATTATGTGGTACAGACTTGGACTCCCATAAAGAAAGAGAATCCCAGACTCCTATTTTAAGGTTCTGTTGAGGTCTTTATTATTCTGTCTTTAGGCAGGACAGCCCCCACTCTAGGCCAGGCACAGCAATACTTCCTATTCAAGAAGATGGTTTCACAATCCATCCCTTTCATCCTTCAGGAAATACTGTAGTTTTCAGGCCAATGGTGTATTGGAAAGAACTGAGCGTGAATCCCTACTCTGACACCCTACGTCACCTTGGGTAAATGACTTCTTTCTAAACCTTAGTTTTCTCTTTCTGTAAATAGGGATAGTATCTACTTCACTAGCTGAAGCTGGGGAAAGGGCTTTGTAAACCTCAAAGCCCCATGGTAATGTAAGATATTATCATTCCTAAAGTCTAACCTCAGTCACTTCAGCTTAACATTAATTTTTTTCTTGCTCCGACCTCAGTTGTGTGGTGTGTCTGAAAGCTTCTGGATTTTTGCTGGAGCTGGTGTGGGGATGGATTGGGGGGGGGGGCTTAGCAGCTCCTTACTTTGCTCTGGGATGACCTTACTTAAGGGGCCCCTCTC